CTACTATGCTTGAACGAGAAATGTCCCCCCTTTAGGAATGGCCTAAAGACATTTCAGTCAGTGGCACTGCCCCGGGGGTGGCCTGCACTCTGCAGGGATGAAAGGCATTGATGATGATGACATTTGATGGATGATAGCGTCGAAATTAGACACAAAGTCATAGGTTAGGAAAGATAGTCCCGCTGAAGCATTTTCAACAATCTTTAGGATTGCTAGTAAAATACAAATCGTCAGACACCTGGATACATTTATTTGGCAAACAAAAGTTTAGTTTAGTATAGGGTTTTATGGCGCTCGCAACTGCATAAGGTCATATGAGCGCGCGAAACACAAGTTGATAGCATTCGCAACAGTTCACAGCACGGTTGGCCAACAATTAGACTTTAAAATGCTAAAACATTAAATAAAATTCAGTGTGAATATATTTATAATTTAAAACAGCTCTTATTATAATTAACAATAATTTTTTTTAGCAATATTGTTTCATTTTATAATTTGCCGTAAAGGCCAAAGGCCTTCATAAAATCCAAGATTCTGTTGGGACCAACGACGGAAAAAATGTCTTGCAATTTCTCGCATTTGAAGTATTTCTTTCGGATCTCTCCAAAGTCTAGACATTCGGTTAAAATGTGTTTAATGGTAAAATCTGTGTCGCATCCGACACAGAACGGCTTCTCATCTCCCTGACCTAAATAGACAAGTTCACTTGGTAGTAAGATGTGCTTATAACAAAGCTAAATGAACGTTGCTATTTCAGTTCATTTCTCGGACCAATCGGACCAAGGGAGCTAACTCACGGCAGGTCGGTTTTAGTTTTAGGAAGAGTTTTACGGCACTTGCAACACCATAAGGTCATATAAGTGCCGAAGATTAGTAGCAGTGTTACAAGAGAGTAAAAAGTTTTTCCCGCATCCGATCCAGACATTGGGGATTGCCTTGTTAGTGAGACAACTTCCTTGGCCTTCGGCATAATATTGTGGTAGGGTGGCCAGTTCCTTTCCACGCCGCCTTTACTTCCCCAACTCGAAGTCAGGTACCCTTTACTGCTGGGTGGGCAGAAGGGGGAGCGAAAAAAAATCTGTGTCGGAACCGAGGCTCGAACCTAGACTTTCCGCTTCGGAGACGAGCGCACTAACTACTTCGGCACCGCGCACCCTCGAGAGTAACAAACATAAAAAAGAAGGACCACACCAGAGCACCCGCCAACCACCCCCCCACCCACTTCCGAAATGTCATTCGACCCGCCGGACCAAGGGAGGCAACTCACCTGTATGATCTAGATAGATAAACAAGCAGCAAACCTACTCATTCAGCAGTACAGCTACATGTACAAGGAAGTGGGCAAGTTATTTATTTTTATTTATAGTAGAGGGTTTTACGGCGCTCGCAACTGCATAAGGTCATATGAGCGCCAAGGGGTGGGTGTCAACAGAGAAGTCTTTACAGGGAATCAGACTTACTCTGCTGACCTCTCTAGTTTCAACAGCACAAGGTCTGCTTCAACTATCAAGGCACCCCGGAAATAGCAGGTCACAAGAGAGTGACAAACATACAAAAATAAGTAGAGGAAAATGACGATAGTAAGAATTACGAAAGAAAAAGCAGCAGTTCCCTGATGTAGATCAGGCACAGTTATGAGCGTGACATGAGTCAGCCCATTTTCTACTGCACTTGAACGAGAATTGTCCCCCCTTTGGGAATGGCATAAAGACACTACAGTCAGTGGCACTGCCCCAGGGGGTTGTGGGCAAGTTAGAAATATCCCCAGAGTCGAAGAAGTACAGAGAAAAATACACGCTTTTCGTATCCCCACAAGAGCCTAAGGAGGACGGTATTATGACCAAGGGAGGTAACTCACGTTATGTCCATTCGAGATGTCAGTTTTCGTTTTAGAAAGAGTTTTACGGCACTCGCAACACAATAAGGTCATACAAGTGCAGAAGATTAGTAGAAGTGTTACAAGAGAGTAACAAACATAAAAAAGAAGGAGGGGGAGATAAGGACGATAGATGTTTGATAGGAAAGAAGAAGCAGCAAACCACACCAGAGTACCCGCCAACCACCCACATTCTAAAAAGTGTGCGAAGAATACAACCCCGGGGGGGGGGGGTGTACAAAAATGACCCAAGGGCGTACGGATAGGGTTAAACTCCCCACTATCTCAATTAGTTTTTTTTGTTTTAGTAGAGGTTTTACGGCGCTCGCAACTACACAAGGTCATATGAGCGCCAAAAGATTAGAGGTGTTACAAGAGAGTAACAAACATAAAAAAGAAAAAGGGGAGATATAAGGACGATAGATGTTTGATAGGAAAGAAGAAGCAAACCACACCAGAGCACCCGCCAACCACCCACATCTCAAAGAGTGATCTTTCCATGTTTACGATACAACTCTAAGAATCCTCTTCTGTCTGTGCTAACAAGCGTCCGTCAAAAATTGATAATGCGAGATAGGGTCAAGTTCATTCCCTCGACCACTCCGACCAAGGGAGGCCACTCACCTGCATGATCTCCGAGTTGATGAGGACGGGGGAGGGGCCGCGAGGACTTTCCTGCGGGGAGGACGGCGGGGACACATTCGACTCGGGGGACCTCAGCGGGGACAGGGTCTGGTTGTGTTGCTGCTGCTGCTGCTGCTGTTGTTGTTGCTGTTGTTGTTGGGACGGTGGTAGCGAGGAGGCTGCGGCAGAGACCGGGAGGCTGGACAGCTGGGGCGCCAGGACGGCCAGGTTGTTGCTGGACAGCAGCGGCAGGTTGGCTGTCTGTTAGGGAGTTGGAACAAAGAAGTTTGCTTTGAGTAACGAAAAAAACCACCAGCACAATATCAGTCATATACAGCAGGGAAGAATCAACAGTTAGTTTTAGTAGAAGTTTTACGGCGCTCGCAACTGCATAAGGTCATATGACCGCCAGAAGATTAGAGCTGTTACAAGAGAGTAACAAACATAAAAAAGAAGAAGGGGAGATAAGGACAATAGATGTTTGATAGGAAAGAAGGAGGAGAGAAAAGGACGATAGATGTGTGATAGGAAAGAAGGAGAGACAAGGACGATAGATGTGTGATAGGAAAGAAGGAGAGACAAGGAGGAGAGTAATCAGGACGACAGGCAAGGACAAAAGTAGTGAGGACGACAGACACAAGGACCGACAAACGGACAGCCGCTCTCACCTGATTGGCCACCAGGAGCCGCGGCTGCGACTGGGCCAACTGTCCTTAGTTATACTTAGTTTTAGTAGAAGTTTTACGACGCTCGCAACTGCATAAGGTCATATGAGCGCCAGAAGATTAAAGGTGTTACAAGAGAGTAGCAAACATAAAAAAGAAGAAGGGGAGAAAAGGACGATAGATGTTTGATAGGAAAGAAGAAGCAAACCGTACCAGAGCCAACTGTCCGAGCGGTGAGGGGCTGACTAATTGGAACTGTTGCAACCGACAAGGATGACAGACAAGGGTGACAGACCAGGGTGACAGACAAGGGTGACAGACAAGGAGGACAGACAAGGATGACAGACAAGGAGGACAGACAAGGATGACAGACAACGAGGACAGACAAGGATGACAGACAAGGAGGACAGACAAGGATGACAGACAAGGGTGACAGACAAGGATGACAGACAAGGATGACAGACAAGGATGACGGACAAGGATGACGGACAAGGACGACAGACATAAGGAGGACAGCCATGAGGAGGACAGACATAAGGATGACAGACAAGGATGATGGACAAGGATGACGGACAAGGGTGACAGACAAGGATGACAGACAAGGGTGACAGACAAGGATGACAGACAAGAATGACAGACAACTATGACGGACAAGGATGACAGACAACTATGACGGACAAGGATGACGGACAAGGATGACAGACAAGGGTGACAGACAAGGATGACAGACAAAGATGACAGACAAGGATGACGGACAAGGATGACGGACAAGGACGACAGACATAAGGAGGACAGCCATGAGGAGGACAGACATAAGGATGACAGACAAGGATGATGGACAAGGATGACGGACAAGGGTGACAGACAAGGATGACAGACAAGGGTGACAGACAAGGATGACAGACAAGGATGACGGACAAGGACGACAGCCATAAGGAGGACAGACAAGGAAGACAGACATGGGAGAAGAGAAAACAAAAAGCCGAAGATCAAGAGCTGTTCTTACAAGAGAGTCACAAATCAAAAACACCAACAACAACAACAACAACAACAAAAAAAAAGGAAGAGGAGAGACAAAGACGACAGACAAGGACGACAGACACAAGGACCGACAGACAAGGAAAACAGACACAACGGCCGACAGACTGACAGCCGCTCTCACCTGATTGGCTACAAGGAGCTGGGGCTGCGACTGGGCCAGCTGTCCCAGCTGGGAGGGGCTGACCAATAAGAACTGCTGCAGCTGGCCGCCCTGAATCATGGAGATCGTGGGCGCCCCCTGGAGGGCCTGGCCCAAGGTCAAGGCCGGGGGAGGGGCGGCGGGGGGGCTGAGCGAGGCCGAGGAGATGGTGGGAGGGGTGGCCACAGAGGTGGAGGTGGAGGTCTTGAGAGGGGAGCTGGCAGACAGGGCTGAGGGCTATATGGGAAAATAAATTTGTTAGTTCGAGTTTTTTATTTTTTTGTTTTACTTTTGTTTAAACATTTGTGTGTGTGCGTGTGTGTGTGTGTGTGTGTGTGTATGTGTGTATAAGTGTAAGAAGCGTGAGGGTGGAGAGGAGTGTGTGTGTGGGGGGGCAGGGGGAGCTGGCCGACAGGGCTGAGAGCTACATGGAGGGTTGGCTGACAGCGCTGAGGGCAGGCAGACTGCCACCCTCCGGAGGAGGCCAGCTATAGAAAGAAAGAAAGGTATCACAAAAAAATCGCAAAAAAACAACAACATCGCTACCCCAGTGCTTTCTTGTCGTAGTTCTATTTTTACTAACAGTTAAAACAGTTCATAACAAAGAGCGAGCTTGACACTATTTGCCGTCTCCTCTCGCCGATCGGCAAAGTTTTCCACCCAGTTTCTTTGGATTTTCCCCAAAATGCCTTTGCCCTTGCGGGTAAGTGTTTTCACTAAACGATCCTTGTGTTGGCAAAGCATTTTAAAAAAGTGAGTCACATTTTCACTGTTAAAAAAATGGAGATACGACAAGAAAGCACTGAGGACGCAACATAGTCAAAGGAGAAACGGTCTCTCTCTCTCTCACCGAGTTGCCCGCCACCAGCAAAGGCCTCAGCTCTTTCCCAAGGCCAAGGTCAAACAGATGCTGGGCCAGCTGCGGGTGCTGTTGTAGCTGTGGTTGTTGAGGCTGTTGTTGCTGCGACAACAGCGTGCTGTTGATGGTGCCAGCGGCCGAGGTTGTCACAAGCTTCTGTGTTTGCTGTAGCGATACGGTCGGTTGTTGGGGTTGTTGTTGTTGCTGCTGTTGCTGTGGTTGTTGTTGTTGTTGTTGTTGTTGTAGCTGTTGCTGTGACTGTAGCAGCAGCTGCTGGAGGTCTTGCTGGGAGAAGGTGAGGGACGGGTTGGGCATCGCGGAGGATACTGGAATCTGCCATGTAATAATAAAAACAATAATAATATTAATAATAATAACCATGATGATAAAAACAACAATAATAATAATAATGATGTTTGTTTTAGTAGAGATTTTACGGCGCTCGCAACTGCATAAGGTCATATGAGCGCAAGACGATTAGAGGTGTTACAAGGGAGAACAAACGTAAAAAAGATGGAGGGGAGATAAAGACGATAGATGTTTGCTAGGAAAGAAGGAGCAAACCACACCAGAGCACCCGCCAACCACCCACTAATAATGATGCTATTCTAGAAATTATTATTTCGATTAATAACAATAATATTAGGCAACAAGCTCTGGTCACTGAATATTATTTAAAGTAGACAACACACACACACACACACACACACACACACACGCATACAAGCACACTCATACACACACACACACACACACACACACACACA